TATATATCCATATTACTATTTCTTTTTTTTTATCATTCACAAATTAATTATGACATTTTTTCGAAAAACTTTAATGTTTCAAAATATTACAGGTTTTTTTACTTTATGGTTAGTTGGATCAAATAGCCGTTATCTATTTTTAGATTGCCTAGCGATTAAATTTTTCGATGTATACCACATCAGATGAGAATAAAATTATATCAAAATTCATTTATTTCTAATATAGGAAGCAATTTTTTTTTCTACGAAGGATTTCTCAGAAAAATTAACTTTGTAGAGGATTGGTTGAGCTTTATTTTTATATCTTGATAAGAAGAAAAACGAAAATTTTGCAGCTGATTAAATACAAGGCTTGAGTGCGTTTAGTTTACTCTTAAGGTTAAACAAGAGTGATGGTATAATCCAGTTACACCGGGTAACGGCTTTTGTAGCCGGAACTGAGATACATTTCGATCCTAATCAATCGAAGAACTCTTACCCATTTCTCCCAGTGAAGTGACCTTCGCGGGAATCACTTCATTGCCCTAACGATATAACTATATGTTAAAAGTTGAGGAATTTGAGTTGTTTTGGTGTAATGACCTTTGGGAGAACAAAGTGCCTACCCTAAATATCATTACACCAAAACAACTCAAATTCCTCAACTTTTAGCATATAGTTATACCTTTATGGCAATGAAGCCATTAACCGAGTGTTAGTATCGGAATAAGCTTAGGATAATATGACTTTGGATTCTCATTACCCAGTGTAATGGTATTATGACATCTATGAAATATACGCACATATTATTAGCAGCGCAATATTGCTATCTTGTTTTATTGTAAACACATTATTGAATAAATTATTACAAGTTGGTATTGTCCAAAACATTCTTGCTTGTTACATTTCGATGAGTTCGGCAAATTATTTATGTCAATAAAATGATTAGAAAATCGATTCAATTTTCATTAGTATTCTTGGTTGTGTACTACTTACAAGAGTTTCGATTAATTGTCTCGCGATACACGCACACCCTTGTTCTTTGGATCATTTATTGACTATAGAAAAATAAGACAGCTTTTAATTCTCTTTTAACTGCTTCAATGCATTGCTAGAAGGTTGAGTTTACATATACCATTTTCAGAATCAGAATTTATACTGTGCTACGTGTTTGCGATTGAATCATTTTTGTATAAATTACATATCATATTTCATGAAGTTATTCTATACTTTATTTAAATGAGAATNAACTGTAACGGAAAAATATTTCGGTCGCGTAAGTATTCTTCAAATAACTATCGAGATATATAGAATTGCGTATATATCCTGATAGGATGATGGACAACAAAGTGTAGATCAGTATCAGCTATATATTTTAGCCACTGTGTGTATAATATCAACAACAATTCCACACGATGAGTTTATTCTTATCTAAAATGAGTTCTGTGTGTTGCCTTTCAATACAACCGAATACAATCGTACGTATTACATTCTTCTTGGAACTTGACTTGTTTAGAAGTGAACTCGACTCAACGGCCTTTCTACTACTCTAATACTATCCAACACTGCCGCTCTTATATAATAATAATATTTCACATATAACGCGAGTTTATATACTAGAGAGAGAGAGAGAGAAGATACATAGTGACAAAAAGATATATATTGATAAAATGATATAGAGAAAGAAAAGCATACAGAGAACGATTACGTATTGTTCAGTGGGTGATTATGTGTCGTCATATACAAGGATGTCCATTAGTTCTATGGCTTATGAGCGGACGTCCAGTGGCTCATATATCCCCTATCTAATCTCGTCCTTTACGAGGGACGTACTTCTTGGCACACAAACATATTCTAGAAGTAAGAAATGCTCTATTTAAGAGAACGAAAAAGATTCTAGCAAAAATATTTTTTGATCATAGGAAAATAATACAACGCGTATAATAAGCTCATATAAGAAATAAATCGTTATATAATTATTATATGTTTGTCTGTTCATAGAAAATATAGACTCACATGTATATGTAACATCTAAAAAACACAGCAAAAGATAAATGTCTATAGAACTATTTTGATACAAGAAAAATCTCATTTTAAACATAACAGGACACTATGATATAATTGTAAAAAAAAGAGCATTAGAGAGAATGATATGCTATATTCTTTCTATAGAATAATCTTTCAGTATAGAAAAAACTTATTCTGAGGAATTTCTAGAAAAAAAGAATGATCTATTCAAAGAATTTTACTCGATACTTTCGAAATTATTTGCATATACCAGCTATACTCGAGAAAGAGAAAGAGAGAGATCTCCTTTTATTCTTATGTTTTCTCTTCTAGTTAATATTCGTGCTAATGCTACATGGAAACAGAACGGAGTGACTGTTGCTGGAGGCAACGGGTGTGGGAATGCCACCAATCAACTCAAGCAGCCTCTTGGTCTCTTCGTTGATGATGATCAAACAGTGGTTATTGCTGACAACGGGAATCATCGTATCATGCAATGGAAGAACGGTGATACAACGAATGGACAAGTTGTTGCTGGTGGCAACGGCTACGGAAATGGATTACATCAATTGGCTTTACCAACTGATGTATTAATTGACAAAGAGACGGATAGTCTCATTATTTGTGATTGGGGGAATCGACGAGTTGTCCTATGGTCTCGTCGTAGTGGTACAACAAAAGGTGAAATATTCATAGACAACATCACTTGTTGGGGATTAGCTATGGATGAGCAGAGATATCTCTACGTTTCTGACTACGAAAAAAATGAAGTAAGACGATATCAATTGGGTGAGAAGAATGGCACTCTCGTAGCTGGTGATAATGGACAAGGTGACGATCTCAATCAGCTCAACTTCCCGACATTTCTCTTTGTCGATCGACAACGGAATGTCTATGTATCAGACAGAAACAATCATCGCGTAATGAAATGGAATAAAGACGCAAAAGAATGTATTGTGGTCGCTGGAGGACAAGGTGAAGGGAATTCTCTGACACAATTGTCTTCTCCTAGTGGAATCTTCGTTGATACGTTAGGTACACTCTATGTAGCAGACATGTATAATCATCGTGTAATGCGTTGGTCTCAAGAAGACAAGAAACAAGGCACTGTAATTGTGGGTGGAAATGGCAGGGGAGAAGGAGCAAATCAGTTCAGCTACTCCGTTGGTTTCTCTTTCGATCGACAAGGTAACCTCTATGCCGTCGATAATGATAATAATCGTGTTCAACGATTTTCTATCGAATAAGACTTGTGAATTGTTTTTTCTTTGTTCGTTTCTTTTTCTATGCTTTGAAATAAATGAACCAAAAAAAGAAATTTTCTTTTACTCTTTCGCTTCAAAGAAAAGTAAAAAGCTAAAATATAAAATTACGTCATATGTTTCTTTTCTTCTTCTTTTATTTATTTGTTAAATGAAAATATTTATGATTGAAATGAAAAGAAAAAATTTGAGTTATTTGAATAAAGTTTATTTTAACAATCAAAAAAATCAAAAAACTTAAACAACAAGAATCGAAAATATATATACTTACATTTGTTTTCGTTTGGATTGAATTGAACTTTTTTGTTGAATGGAACTAACACATAAAAATAACAATTAATTTTATTTGTTTGCAATAAGATAAGTGAAAGTAATTATATTCACTTCGCTGTTGAAGAAATCGAGATGAAATGAAAAGAAACGAATTTGATTGGAATGAAAATTTTTTTGCTTACCAGCTAATAGTCGCTCGCGCGACCAAGAACCACCTCGTTTGTTTATAGCAGGCATAAAGGATGCAACGTAAAAAGCTGGTACATCACTAATCGCATTTCGGTGTCCCCCGTATCGAATTATTGTCATGTCTGTTGTTTTCTTCAATTCTGGTAAAGAAACTAAGCAAACAAGCGGTAAAAACAATTGAATAAGATAAATTAAATAGAAAAATATATTAAATTGTATATCGATAATAAATGTTGCATCGAAGAATTGTTGAATTAAACCTGTAACTGCAATTGGTAACCGAAACACAAGAAAAAGTGCTGAAATTGTAAGCAATTGTATAGTCATTATTAGATTATTTTTTGTTCGTTCAGCATTATGCCTTATTCGAGTTGAACGATATGTAACTCGAATGAGAAGTAAAATATTTGCTAGAGCAACCGAAACAGTTGGTATGATTGTATTAGCCAGCCAATCTACAAATACCAAGAATTTTATTTCCATAAAAACATGGTGCCGTACACAATAATTCGTAAAAATTCCAATCATTAACATAATTATAAATAAAAATAAAAATAACAGCAACGCAGCATGTTGGGGTGTAAAATATTGCTATACTAAGTGGTACATAGCGAAAAGCAATACGTTTCCATCGAATTTGAAAGATTGACTGTGAAAATATAATAATATGCCGCTCAATAGATGCCCAACACACTAACGTTTATAAATAATCAAAAATAAAATTCAAACAAATATATAAAAATAACTTGCTAACAAATAAACTGACACCATTCAATGAAAATGTGTACCAGTTGAAAAATACACAATAACTATTCGTTGACGGCCACACAACACCCATATGCAAATAATTTTCTACCATTGATAATTCAGTTGTTACTTGAACGAAACTTGTTATTAGTAATGCAATAATAAAATGATTTCCAATTGGCTTAATAAATTTTGCTGATCGCTTTATGATATCTATACTAACGAATAGAAAACATACATAACTGATAATACTTGGCAAGGTAATAAAATGAAAAGTTTTATTGAACGATTATTGGCTACGACAGCATTGGCAGTTGTATTTGCATCTTTCAATATATTCTTCTGTTTGATAAGCGTAAATATCAGTTTTGTGTCCATTTTGTTTTTTTATTTATGTGAAAGACGAAAACAGACGGATTTATACAGCGAAGTATTGTCATTAGTAGGTGAGGATAAATGTGATATCTTCCGGTTAGTGTACTGCGTGATTGATATTTTTGATCACGATCACGAATTTTCTGCGATCAA